TTTAAACAAAATAATATAGAATTTTATTTAATGTGCTATTTATCATTTATTGGCCATAACATGAAAATAATTACGGTAACACTTTACAATAAGGTTTCATTTGCTAACATTAGTTAACAAGAAGTAACAATGAACAGTACTTCTACAGTATTTATTCATCTTAGTTAATGTTAATTTCAACATTTACTAACATATATTTAATTTCAAAACTTGTATCTGTTAACAGTTGTTAATACGCTGTGAACAAACATGAACAATGTACAGCTGTATTTTTATTTAATTGTATTTTTAGGGAACATTAACAAAGATTAATAAAAGCTATAATGTTGTTCATTGGTAGTTAAATACACTAATGCACTAACAACTGAGATCTTATTGTAAAGTGTTACTAAAAATTTATTAAAATTGATGTATCCCTAGATTTAAAATGTTCAAAATCCTAAAGGAAGTACATTTTATTTATATAGCACATTGAAACACGGTGAAGCTGACCAAAGTGCTGAACAGAGAAAACCAAATCCAAAATAATACAAATAAAATTCCTTCCCCTAAAACTTTCCATTTCCAGGTTTATATTAGATAATTAATCACAGATTAAACAACAGATGTCAATGTGGTCTAAGACTTTTGAACCCCTACAGACAAAATACACTGTTTCCAGCTCAATTTGTCTGACTCTGCAGGCCATCCAGCGAGTCAGAAAGACAGAGAAACGCAGCGAAGACAAAGACCGTGGCTTATAGGAACTGATGGGGCATAAAGAACCATTTCGTTTGGCCGTAGTATTGCCCAGTTGCCCTTTACGTCACACATATCCACACCTCCCATGTGTAACGCCACTCTCCCTGCTGCCCTTAATCCTTCACGGCTTTTAATCTGCATCTCAGTCTGTAAAAAGACCCATACAGTTAGAGACGCTCTCCAGCATGCATGTGTCTGCATGCACACAAACTGCTCAGAATTGGCTTGCCATATTCCAGGGATTAGCATCTGATTTGATGGATTACAGACAATGCTTTCACAGTTTTGAGCAGATGACTGTGGGAAACAACAAAAGCATGGCACACGCTGCTTTACACATCACAGAACATCTAGTCCTTATATAGTAAAGCTTCCTGACCATGTGGTCAGATTTACTCAGAAACGCATTTCGGTGTTGGAAGCATGCAGTGTTACTGAAATACAAATGCAGGTGTATTACTACTACTGGCTGCTTAAATATGAACTGTTAGTAATTCTAGCATGCTTTCATATATTTGATAGTTGTTGGCTGTATGCATGTGGCACGTCTTTGTCTAACAGACTTTAAACCATGTGAGTCCATTAATGGTTAATAAGAAGGAGGAGAGAGCAGAAAGTAACAGTAGGGGGAGGGGGAGGAATATTCTGCAAAGCTCAAAGACAAATATGACATCTTCTCCTATGGGAGTGTCAATCACTGTCTAATGTATTCAACAACTACACTGAAAAAAATGTTACCCTAAATTTTTTTAATTGGATGAATGAAAAAAAAAATTCAGTGTACAAAACTGTTAGATCATAAGTCAGCCTATTTTTATCATCAAAGCTGCATTGTTTCGATGCAGAGGCCGTTTCAAACCATCTTTCAAAACCCTTTCCACCTGCCCAAAATTATAATACTTTATTTCAAAATTAAAACCACAGTTCATCTCATACCACGTTTGCTTTCCATCCTTATTACATTAGATGCAATAAAATTGATGAGATAATACAAAAAATGAGGAATACACACAATGACCTGATTTCCTGTGCAAGACTCCCCCTTCTCACACAGATGCAAGGCTCCTCCACAATACAGTCATGGGAATTCACTGGGAATGACGGAGGCCCCATCGCCATGGTAACCGGGTTTGTGCAGCTGAGCATTGCGCTTGGAGCAGTTGCTGTGGTTATTAGTGAAGGATTGGAACTGGCCCATTAGCTCCACGCCTCCAAACATCGAAAACCTAATAGGTTTGTACAATGTGGCCGTTGGATTTATCGAGCTAAGTTGTTGTTTTAGCTGACATTTAATATTTATGATGTGATTACTGTATGTACTGTATGAACCTCCAGTTCTTTTTTTAGGGCAAGATGGTAGTTTGCTCCCTGCCATTGACACTTTTACCAGAAAATCAGTAAACTAAACTCAACTACATTGCCACTGAAATGTTAAACTATTTGTATTAAAAGATAATAATAGTAATAATATATATTTTTTAAAGATTTTATTTTTGGCATTTTTGGATTTTTTATTGTGATAGGATAGTTTAGAGTTGAAAGGAAGTGAATAGTAACGGCGCTATAAGTCGGTGCACTGCCCACAAGGCTATCAGCGCCGACGTAATACACTTTATTTTAATATTTTTTTGCAGCAGTAATAACAAATAGTAATTGTTATTATTTCATTACCTTTATATTATTTTGACTACCTTTTTTTTTTTTTTTTTTTTTTAACAATTTAAAATAACAGTTTTCTATTTTGATATATTTTAATTTCTTCCTGTGATGGTAAAGCTGTATTTTGGGCAGCAATTACTCCAATCATTCTAATATGCTGATTTGGTGCTCAAGAAACAATTCTTCTTATTTTTTGAAAACAATTGTGCAGATTAATACTTTGTGGAAACTGTGATACATTCATTAATATACAGTGTAGCCAATACTATATGAAAATGAATACATTTTAATCCTCCTATTATCAAATTGGCTATAAAGTGCATTGCTGATTGGGCAAATGAGGTGTGAGTCTGCCATCTAGGGGTTATCAAGAGCTGGCTGATTTTAAGCATTTAGAAACCCAATTAACCCCCTCAAAAAGTTTCATTTTAACATGCAAATCAAATTGTGTTGGAGAAAGATATCAAATGTAACTCGAGTTCATGAATTAAAGGTAAAAGATACTTTAGGGACAACACTGGTCTTCTAATTTTAAGACCAGTTCAAACTCCTTTAGTTCTTTTCAGAAAGATTTAAATACAAATTATAAGACCGGCCTTGAGAATTTTTATCTAATGAAAAAGATGGCAACACTATATGACCATAAAACAGCTTCCGTTACACACCTTATTTTTCCAAACTGAGTTCATTGCAGGTGAAAAGACGACACATGACACTGGAAGTTTCTATGAGGGAAAAGATGAGCGTTTTTTTTTCCTTCTTCTTTTTTAATCTGAGGAATCAGAGTAAAAACAAATGTCATATACAGCACAAGTACTGAAAGAGCCGTTAGACTGTGTGTTCTGCACTCGTATTTTTTATTAGCACAGTTCTAGAATCTTCTAGAATCCATTTTGTAAACTGCTAGTACCTTAGAGCGATTTCTAAACCATTTCAAAATCATATACTTACAATTCTGTAAATATATACTGTACATACATAATATTAATATAGAAATATGGTTTTAATATTTTGCCGTTTTAAGCAGCACTTTTTTGCACAATGATAAATGTAAAGAAAGTTAGGAAACAACTAATTCTTGTTCCTTCTTTGTTTTGAAAGGATACACAGTGCTAATTTGTAAAATCATATAGGTGAAGTCAGTAAACACAGCGTGGCACATAGAGCCATGAGTATTCTGCAAAGAGATGCTTTAGATTTGTGAAACAGACAGCAGAGAGATCACTTACACATAGCCCTCTGTGACAGGCCTTGCCATCTTTTACTAGTTTGACACCAAATGCAAGGGTTCCTTTTCACGCCATGTAAAAAAAAGGGCAATTTTATCAAACAATATGCTGAGCCTAGTGTGTGATCAGCATGTCATGATCTTTCTTAGTTAATGTTCACTGCCGGACACAAGGATCATTTTCTACTTAAGTGAATAGAAGTGCTAACAAAAGACCGATATTGTGAAATTGCAGTCTCACAAAAGGAGTCGTGAGATGATTCATCCTGGTTTTTCGGACAGATAAACACCCCCACGGTCCTAACGCAACAAGAAATAATCACGACAATAAGAGCCACTAACAAGGCAGCATTAATGAGCCTGCAATCTCAAAATAGGTGTGCAATCACTTCCGCAAAGTGTTAATACGTCTGCTTTTCATCCTGATCACACATACTTTATCAGCGTTTATAATAAGCTGTACTGTTATGATCAAAGACTTCTAAGGTTTTAAGTACATATTGGTTAGTAACTGGTTAGAACTGTAACATGTAATATGAAGCTGATCTCCAGTGTTGGTAAAAAATGAGAACTAAAGTAAGTCATTGATGCCACCTGAAGTCTAGAATTGACAGGAATTAAAGAACATTAAACATTAGAACAGCCAATGACTTAGTAACACTTTAAAATAAGGTCGTTCCGTAGTTACCCTGAACTAACAATAAACAATCCTTTAACATTTATTAATCTTGATTCAAGTTAACTTTTACATAAAATAGTACATTTTCACATTACACGCATGTTAACATTAGTAAATGTTGTATTAGCCAACACAAACTAACAAACAAGCAGTTGAATCATAATTAATTTATAAATAAACATTAACTAAGATTAATTTTTAGTTCTTGAAACCTTTAACTAAAGTTAGCATTTTGAACCTTATAGTAAAGTGTTACCCAACAACATCAAACATTTTGGTTTCCCATACCCAAACCTCAACAGCAATAATACTGAATTCAAATTCTATTTTTATACACTTGAAAAGATTGTTAAAGTATCATTATAGCAATACAATCTGACAGACAAAATAAAAATAAAATTCAGGTGCATTTTAGTTTAGCTACATACCTGTAGGGAAATTCATTTGGTTTGTTAAATCTAAGCAAAAATGTTTATGTAATTTTGGGTTGATATGAAGTTAAGGGTCCCTCTGGAGACACTGAAATCACATTGGCAAAAACTCTGAAGTGCTTATCATTTATCTTACGGAATGGCAACACAAGTAAAAAGGCATGTATTGGTAAGCATACTGTATATAAAAAAAATCACTAAAAATATGAATTAGTTAAACACCATTTCATTAAAAATCAGAAACACACTGAACACTGTATGAAATGTACATGTTACGAAAGAAAAAAATCTACAATAACAAAACATTAAAAAAGGCTGTAAATGGAATATAGAGAGTGGAATGTGTTTGTTTTGTCTAGATGAACTGCTGAAATGTTTCAAATAAATATACAGTCAATTAATTCCTGGGTGGCGGACAAAAAGTAAACAATCTCAGAGGAACCGCCAAGAAGAATTCGTAAATATCGAACTGTGGTTTTTGGAATCGGTGTTTTTGCTTTTCATATATTAATCCCTTTTTAAAAGCTACTTAGGAACTTGTTGATCATAAACTGGTGTGTTTAGGAATGTGAAATATCATGTTTAGGTTACCATCTATTTTGGGAGCACACGGCTTCTTTAAATCCATACACACACTCTCTCTGACACATACACACATGAGATGATGAGAAGATATGGTTGGGTTTAGTTGTCGTCCTCTTTAGCTTGAGAGAGTGCTTTCTCTGCGCTCGCCGAGCCCTCGAAGCGCTGGGAGGCGATGGCAGCTTGATGGGACATGCTTTTTCTCACAATGTCTCCCTTCCTCCATAGCGTAATCTCCTAAAAATCCACAAAAGATGTCAATTCATGCACAAAATAGATCATATTCTGGGCATTTAATAGTTAAAATATCACTACTAACTTTTTATTTATTCATTTGTTAATTTAGTAAAGTGAAGACCAACCTGTTGTTTGAAGTAACGTCTCTCTTCTTCATCAATGAGTACGAGATTCAGGTAATAACGAACAGAGAATTTCTTATTAACATCCCTCATGGTGGGCGTCATCTCGTACCCAGCCAGAAAAAGACGGATAGGGATGGATTCACCTAAAGCCAGTAAAGACAATGTTAAAATTCAGTACAATTCATTTCAACATAGAAAATATGAGTGTTTCAAATTAATCCATCAGAAACGTCATCCTTATAAATCGATGTGTTGAGAATAGTTTCATACCTCGCACAGGTGCTCCATCCATAATCTCGTATTTTGCAATGGTGTCATTTTCGTGGTACACATTTGGCCCTGTCCCTGTTGTCTCCCGTTTAATAATATCAATCTCCATGTGTTTGATCTTAATTCGCACCAACAGGAAATAGATCTTCCCTACAATCACATCTTTCAGGTGATACCTGCCATTTTTAGGTTGAAAAAAAAAAAAACGGAGAAAAATGCAAACAGGATATCAGTGGATGACAAATTGAAATTTTATTAACTGGTTTAAGTTAAAACCATAAACTCCCATCCTCTGGCTGTTTTTGACTTACTTGGACTTGTTGTACTCAAACTCAATGTGTAGACAGTCCTCAATTCCCACCTCCATCTTTATGGAGGTGTTGAGTTCTGGATATGTGCTGAGTGTGTGCACTACAATGTCCATCTCTTTGCAGACGTCATTCAGTCTCCTGCTGATGGTCGCCCGCAGGAAATAGCTGAAAGAAAATTTGAGTTCATAATAAAACCATCTAAGCAACATCTAAGACAGTTAACTGTCAACTAAGTGTACAATATATTGTGGGAGCTCATATAAACAATCTTTCCTGAGCTACACAACTGGAACATACCGTAGTTTTACATTCTGGCCTGTGTAGGACTCGTACGGTTTCTCCACATGTGTGAACTCAAAATCAAAGGTCTGAGATTGAGCCATTTCTCCAGGCCGAGCTAAATCCTTAACCAGAGAGACAAACTCATGATGGTTTCCTCTGTCATAATACAATTCTAGGAGAAAAAGACACAGGAGAGAAAAATATTACCATAGATGCTCAATTTTTGACATGGCTGCTTAATAAAATGTTCATATTTTGTTTGTATATTCCATTTCATTCTTTCAAGTGAGAACAATTCTTTAAGGCTTTGTTAGGTTTGCCAGGTATTGAACAACATGACATTATTAAAGGCAATTTTTGGGGAAAACTAAGTTTTTATAATAAATAAATAATACATAAGGTTGA